ACTCATAATTACAACTTCATTAACAGCTGAACTCTTAATCTCACTAATTTCATCAGTATCATTTGATGGTCTGTAACTAATTCCCACTAAAAGCCTTTTCCCTTTATATCCACTAATAGAAACCCAAATGGATTCAATCTCTTTGCCATTATCTTTGATATCCTCAACTTCAACAGAATGTAACTCACATTTTACATATAAAGCCACTCGTCCTCCCCTCTTTAATACTATATCCCTATTAAAGAGCCTGTAACTCTGTATTTCAAAAAAAGTTCTGTCATCAAAATCATCTTTGCTTAACCATGTTTCAGTTATTCCCATTCTATCAAAATCCTCCATTCCTACCAGTGCTCTAAAGTCATCTATTTTATTTCTTATATTTCTAGCATTACAATAGTAAAATTAAGCCTATCCTTATAATTACTTCTATACTCATTTCCTATGCTAAACTTTTCTCTGCCTCTTATAAAGTCAAACTAAAGTTATTACTTTCAAATCCTAATTTCTTTTTCATTCTCTGTTTAAAATTTATGTTCTGGGCATATTTAACCCAACTGCAGTGTGTCACATAGTTTTATAAATATCTGAATGAAAATAATCTTGAAGGTGCTTTATACATTGTCACAAATTTCATTTGGAGCTTATTTTATACTGTTTTTGCAGAGGTTATTATACAAATTATATATGTTGTCCTTTTTCATATAATAAGAAATTTCAATGGTCAAATTGCCCTTAATACTAATGTGGGCATACATTTCTTATGCTCCAAACAACTTAATGATATGAAAAATAGATATTAGATATTATCCTCTAATACATTGGTTGCATGCACATGTTAAGCATTTTTAAAGATTTATTATATCTTTCCAAGTTATTCATCTCACTCATTAGGACAAATATTTTGGCTATACAATTTAATAGATAATTCATTTATTGAATAAGGTAATTGCAGTTTTAGATTTCAGTGTTTGTTTTTGCCTCGATAAAGGAGCAAAAGTAAAGACACGTTATTTATTATCAATTTAAAGAATATTGTAGACTGTAATGATGCAAAAGAGAGCATATACTAAAAATTTATATTTGACATTTAAGCAGTTTTTAACTGTAATTTTTGTATTTAGAAGAGAGTTTTGTACTTATTATAGAATTATAATTTCCTTGCATTTAAGCTTCTGTGTTTTCATATTTCACAGTAGCTGAAGCTGTTCAGTTGAATGAAAGATTGACAGGTGTTAACCATCAGCAAAACACTAGAATAAGGGAAGTTCAGAATGAGAACTTTAACTTGTCCAGAGAAGTTATTGAACTCAGGTAAAGTGAAATATATCACAAGGAGTTTTTTGTGATTAGCCTAAAGCAATTGATTTTTATTTCTCGAGCATAGGGTCATGCATAGAAATGTAAAGTACCCAAGTCTTAGAAAGATGTGTAGATTGATAACTTAATGTCATTTATATGTCTTAATATTGTACGAAACTTAGCTTATTATCTTAGAAGGTATACCATAGTATAAAGTATCATTAGTGATTTAGAAAGATGTATCATGTTACTGAAAATTAGTGGAATGTTACATATACTGTAATGTTTCTAGATTGTTTCCAAGAGTGACTTATTCTTTGAAATTTGGTGCAGGACATTACCCTATGTGTTTTCTATCACCTTGGTTAAGATGTAAATTTGTTTGAAGTTATTGTGTTTTCAGAGTTTCTAGTTTTGAAGAAGAAAGTCACTGAAGTAAACACTTCAACTCCCTATGTTTTGGTGCATATAAGGTGTGAGTTCTTTAATTGGCAAGTAACTGAATTTCTTGCAGGGAAGATAGCGCATTACATTCATAAATATAAAGTTGTCTTCTCTATTGACAAATCGGATAAGGGTAAAGGGCACTTACACCCTAACACTAAAATTCACAGCTGATAACGATTTTGTGTATCAACATATTAATGTTTTTGTATATAAAGGTGGGTTTGCCCCATGTAAGTCAGAGTTAGAAAGAACTGAGAATTATTGTTGAAATTGTGGAGGTGTAACTTTGCCAGGAGTTTAAGATCTTGTGTCAACCTTTATGAGCACTAATTATTTAGCCTCAAATTGTGTGAGTTAACCTAGTGTTTTTGTTTTTAGCTTTAATTTTCATTTAGAGAAGTTTACTGTGAAACATTAAGTGAAGGCTTAAGTATTTGGATTTTGCTGTATTATATTCATGTTTTAACATATGTAGATTTTTCTAACATTTGAACTGTGCCTTAAGATTAAACATTGATTCTAGTTTTATTTAAACAGTGACATAATATCTGTTTTCATTTAATACATGCCTGAGGATATTTTCATTTTTACTTCCTGGTTTTTAATTTAACTTACAAGGGGACACACTGAGCTAAAGTTTGTCAGTTTGACACACACCATAGAGACTTGTCTTTGTTTTTTTCTGTGATTGTATAATGTTATTTTGTGTAAATAAACATCTGTTCCTTCAGTGCCTTTGAGTCTTTTTTTTCTAACCAGTCTTGATGAGAGATTGGGGAAAGCAGTTGCATTCTGTAGTGTGATACTTTTTAGAACATCCAGTTAGCAAACCTAACTGGATGCTCTTTGGAAAAAACTGTTGCACAGGAAATACCACAAGAGTCACTAAAACCTTTAACCTTATTAAATTGTTGAGCTCATAATATCGAGATATTATACAGCTGTAAAACTTTCATAATGTAACAAGTGAACATATTTTTATTCTTGCAAGTTCTAGTAATTTTTTTTAAATTTTGTTTAGGTGTTATGCTGTAGTATTTGATATTGCAGAGTTTTAAAAATATGATGCACCTATACTATCAATTCCTTTGTTAATTTTGAACACCTCAATCAGATTTCCTCTAACTCTTCCTTTTTCAAAAGAAAATAATTTAGAAATCTTAACCTTTCCTTGTATAACAACTGTTCCATCCCATGTATAATCTTAGTAGCCCTTCTTTGAAACCTTTCCAACAATTTAATGTCATTCTTAAGGTAAGGAGCCAAAGACTGAACACAATACTCATCATGATTGAGGCCTAACCAGTGACATATACAATGAAATAATAACCTATTAAAAGTTTATATTTAATATTTCTGTAAGTCCAATCTAAAATCATATTTGCCCAACTACTAACAACAGCACAGTGTTTAAATAGCTTAAGAGACTGAACAACCAAAACACCAATATCTTTTTCTTCCTTAACACTGCCAAGGTGATCCCCATGAAAATTATGTTTATAGTTTTAAATTATTACAATCCTTGCATTTATTATGATTAAAAGTCATCTACCAGTTATTTGACCAACTCACCAAATGATCTGAATTCTTTTATAAAACATCAGAATATTCCACATAGTCAGCAACACCCAAGACCCTAATGTCATCAGCAAATTTATGCAAATTACTGGCCATTCCTTCATTTATGTCACTGATGTAAATCAAAAAGAACAAAGGTCCCAACACTGAGCCCTGTGGTGATAATAATGCAATTTATCTGGACCCCATTTATAACAACCCTCCATCTTCTTCCCTCTAATTGTTTTTTGATACAATGAACTAACATATCCCATAGAGATAATTTTTAACAAGCTGTTTATGTAGTACAGTGTCATATTCTTTCTGAAAATGTAGATATACTAAATCCACACCTTTATACCCTTGTCAACATGAGCAGTAGCCTCTTCAAAGGCTAGTAAGGCAAGATTTTCTCCAAATAAAACCATGTTGACTATTCAATAAATTTTTACTTTGTTAAATGACTTTCCAAAGCGTGTGTCTTACAGACTTTCAAAAACTTTTCTAATTACTATCAGTGTAAAAGGAAAAACATAGCTTAAAACAGAAAGGGATTATTTTAAAACATATCCAATAATGTCTCAAATGAACAATACCTTTCTGTCTTTTGCCAATGGACTTAAGAACAACATGCCTCATTTTTCCTCTGTACTCATTAATTTAACTCAAACTTTAAACATGAAAATGCACTTTACTGGAATTAAAACTCATAGTTGAGATTTGTTTTATGGGATCTCAAGAATATGGCTTAAATCTTTTGACACAGTGAGGCTGTGAGAAGTTTCTTGTGGAGGTTAATAATCTGAATAAAGTCAAAGAGTTAAAATGCAGCCTGATTGTCCTTATCTGTGTCAATAAGCCATTTTGATAGCTCTAGACAGCAACATTGAAAAGGTGGCATTAAACCTGAGTCCAGAGGATATCTTTAAAAGACACTTAAGTATTCATCATGAACCAGTGCTCTTGAGTCCAACAATGATCAGAGTCCTCACTACAGGAAAGAGGAGATACAGTGAAACCAAATGCATCCCATGGCAAAGATGATTACCTATGGTGCAACCAAGATCTTCTCTGTGAGGACAGGTTGGCTGCTGAAGCCACCGAGAATTGCCAGGACAAAACTCATGCTTCTGCCAAACTATATGATGTGTTTGTTTCATCAATATATCATTAAAAGAAGCTTAAATATATAGCATGTGTACATCAAAACAATAGCAACTCTGAGCATGATGTATAACCTTTAATGGTGGTTCCAGACTGTTTCAGAAGGTATGAATCATAAGTTGCTGCTCTCACTACTAGAGAGAATCTTATAAGGACAGCTGTGAGATATTAAAATCTTAAACTTCTTACTTGCTGAACCAAAGAGTGAAATTTCTCTGGAGGTATTTTCTTTAGGATATCATATGGGAAACACTCCTTTGATGATTATATTTTATCTAGAACATTAACAATTGGTATAACTATGAATGATAATTACCAATATATCAAAGAGTTGCCCAAGTAATAATTGAGATTAAAATATTTGTAAAATGATGTCGGCTGGTTTACTTGAGGATTAACACAAAATCTCGTGTGCATGTGTATCCCAATTTGTTTCATATTTACTTACTATACACTATAAAAATATATATGCACTCTGGTTCTGTGAATATATTTAACATTTTCACTAACAAAAAAGTTTCTAAGAACATAATACAATCATTATTTTTTGAATAATTTAAATATTAGAATTCAGATTGAATGAGAGAAATATGTTTAAAGATAATGACTTTCAGTGAACATAATATCGAGATATTATACAGCTGTAAAACTTTCATAATGTAACAAGTGAACATATTTTTATTCTTGCAAGTT